GTTAGGGGCACGGAAAACATCTCCCACAACAAGTTTCCATCCTGACAACTCCTCATTCATCTGGGCTTGAGCTTCCTTATCAAGCTCTTCATACTGAGCAAGATCTCGCCTAACTGTCCGCAAGAAAATCACAAGTACAATACCAGCCAAGAAGGTTATTACCATAAGTGAGTTAAGAATCGAGAACCAGTGCACTTTTGATCCTTCCATCTTCAAATAGGCATCCCACCTTGAGGGCCACTTGATATCACTCTCAACAAATGACACCTCATATGTAAAAGCCATGGGCTCATTCTCCTTAATGGCACTGGTGACTGTGGTAGGATCACACTTAATCTGGGAGGGGTATTTGTCATACATCTTCAAGTTCTTCAGGGAATTGGTATTGTGCTGGACATTACAAGGCACCACCTCAAACCCAACAACCATGTAGCCTGGGGCATCTGATCCCGAGTTACCAGTAGAGATTACCTCCGCTGCATCCCCAGTACCCATAACACGGGCAACATTGGTCTCCTCATATTTATGAACAAGGACAGTTAACTTCAAGTGATTAAAAACATAATATGCATCCTGAACCTTGATACCAACCGGATAACCAGTGGACCTCAACAAATATTTATCCTTCTTAAAATACCGAATTGCAGGCAAGTTATCAAGGATTAGATTCACCTGATACATCTCGTTAATTCTTTCCTTCAAGAGCTTAAATTCTTGACCAGACAAAAGCTTGGTTTGGCACAGAAAAATATCAGTCGCATTCGTGTACATCTTAAATCTATAGGGAGAATTCTCAATCCTATCTCCCATAAGAAGCTCGCCGAGATTTTCTGCACTGTCCTTAACACCCTCTTTCGGCTGGCAAAATGGCAAACTATAATACCCAAAGGGCATTTCAGTTTCAATGGATGTCAAAGAATTTACTTTGACATTCAAGAAATCGCCAACCACATACTTGTGAGGATAACTACCAGGGAGATAAAAACCTTGACCCAGTTGAAAAAGGGTCAAGGAAACAGTCAACAACCAGATCTTGAATCTGCAAAAAGATTCCATCTTCTCCGTCTTCTGGGCAGAAATCAACGGCCCAGATCAGGAATAACGAAAAAACACCAAAACAATTTAGGGGTTTTAGTTTTAATCAAGATCTATTTCTGAATTCAGGTGACCTTCTCGGGTTTCCGATAGAGATGGATCAGATCAGACAGTGTATATAATATAATAGAACGTGTAAACAAGAAAGTAAAGGGCCTTATTAAACGTTTTTCAAATGAAAAATCTTTACTGACCTTTGAGTAAGGATTGAGAGAAGTACTCTGTGAAAATGAGATTTGAGCCGCAGCAGATCTGCAGATGGCGCACAGTACAGATGTGTGAATTTAGAGCGAGAAGGCGAGATGGCACGACGACGCATTTATATCTTTTTAGCGTCGGTAAATTAATTGATACATTTTCTTTCGTGTAATTTTCTTGTTTTAACATAAAGCCCTAGCAACATTGTCAGAGTTAATTTCGAAATGGTCATTGACGTTTGTACGAAATCTTAAGTTGGTACTTACAGTATTTTATTGGAAAAAGGGAGTCTTACTGTTTGGGGGCCGGCCCCACATGTATTTAAAAAAAAAAAAAATTATGAGGCCACCCAACTTGTTTCTTGCCTGGCAGAGACCTGTACATGTAGTATTTCATTTTATTGCCACACTATATGTGTGTGTATACAATCTCGGGAAGTGTTCCTCCTATTCATTTGACAAATAATTGTTACTCTTAATTTAAATCAATTAAGCATTTAATATCTTATGGATCTCAAGTGATTATAATAAATTCTCACATAATTCCTTTATTTTAATAAACTTCATATTGATCATTGGATTGACTTAAATTAAAAGTTACGATTATTTGTTAAATGAGTGTGTCAAATTTATAAGTATGAGAAACGATTTATATATAAGATGTTGGCCTAGGTCAAAGCCAGCTAGGCAATGACCTAGGGCCTCAAATTATATAGGACTCAAAATGAAAACAATACATTGTAGAAGTTCGGTTAAATTACTAATTTTAAAAGAAAAATTTTTAAATTATTGTAATACAATTTTGTTTTGCCGATTCTAACTTTATACCCCATTTGGTACCCTTTTTTTTTAAATGTATTTTTCTCTCTCTTCTTTTCAACCACACATTCTTCATTAAAATAATATTACACAAATAAATAAAAATTCCTTATTTTTCAACCACACATTTTCCATCAATTTAATATTCCAAAATGCATTTTTACATAAAAATGGCTCCCAAACACCTTCTTAGTTTGATTTTACCCAAATTAATTTCTTTTGAGTTTAATATACATGATTAATTATGAGCTACTAAAAAAGCCCAATATTGTTAAGGTAATATGGTTTAATTTAAAAACTATATTATTAAACATTAAGTACTTATTTTAATGAGTTATAACTTGAATTTGGTTTATATAAATTAACTTTATCTCAAATCCATAGTGTGCTATTTATTATGACTTTTGGATTGAGTCCAATATTAATAGAATGATCTCAATCCTCAAATAATTACACATTTGGTAAAACTACATTATAGACTTCAAAACTTATTTTCACTTTAGTTCCTCAAAATCTTGGATTTATTAAAAGGTTCTTGAATCAAAACCATAATAATATAGTGATGTTTTTAATCACTAAATAATCCTAACTCGTCACATTATTGTTTAAAAATATATATATATTTCACTATCTTGCAATCTAATCCCTAAATTTTGCACTTTTTATGACTAAAAATCACTTTTCTTCTTACGAGTCATCCTTACATTTTGCTCGAGTTTTCACAATTAATAATTTTGAAGATTAGTAGTATTTATTTGCCAATTTTTTTCACCAATGTGATAATTCTGTTAAATATTATGTTACCTTAGTCTCTCAAGTTGTCGAGATAATTTTTTTGAAATTCTATCATTGGATTGTACCAAGTCTTCATTTCAAATATAAATTTATTATTTATTTAAAATGTTAAATATTTTATACTTGTAAAAAATTTATGATTAAGGGCCTCGTAATATTGAGCCGTCTAGGACTTAAAAATTCTCAAGGCCGACTAGCACATAAATAGCCACTAAGAAACATCCAATTCAACTACTCACGAAATGTGAAGATTGACTAATTGATATTAATTTCTTTCCTATAATTAAAGTCGTTTAGTCCACTTGGATATTAACAAGATCCACATTAGATTGTATGTTACTTTTCAGTTTTCACTAATTAAGTTATCATATTTATTTATAACGTTAATTAGCTATAATAGATTAAAATACTTTAAGGACCTACTTGAAATTTTGTACAAACTTCAGTCAACATTGTAGATGTAACAATTATTGCTTTTCCATTTCAGCCCAAGATTTATTGATTGAACCTCTTTTTGACCTAGCATTATTTACAATTCTTTCCATAAATTCATCTTCAATCACTTTTCCTTTTTTTAATCAAATAATTTTCCAGGTAAATCAATTTTTTTCCTAGTTTTTAATCTCAGTTCTTTTAAAAAATTATTTGAATTTCAATTTACTTTGTTGATCAAGTTAAAATTAACTTTCTTGTCATCATAATTTTGAGGATGGTCATTCGAACCAAATACAAGTTTAAGCAAAAACAAAACTTAAAAGTAAAATTATACATCTCAACATTTTCAAAATTATCACTTGAAATAGAAGTTAAAATGTTGAGTGTCATTGTCAAACTTAGTCTCCAACCACAATGGCACAAAGTAAAATTCGTGGAGAGAAATTTTTGACACTAAGCCCCTGTTTGACCCCATTTTTACTTCATTAAAATGAAAAATATGACCGTTATCCATCACATCAAGTCATCATTTTTGAATTTTTATCTCTGGTGTGAGGTCCATAACGGCTCTATTTCTCATTCTCATTCTCATTCTCATTATAATGTGGCTCAAAGGGGCTCTAAAATCCACTAGGAAACTAATAAAGAAAAATGATAATGAATCTGTGTGAGTTATTTGGTGCATAAGTCCTCCTTCGAATTTTGAGATTCAAAATTTGGTTCATACGCAAATGAGGTGACAGTTAAACGGTGAAGTTGATAGAAAATACAATCTGCCATCGAAACTAAAAATTGATATTGAAGCCTTCCACCTTATACCCTTTGAGGCATAATCTACAATTTACCTCCCTCACGATACTCCAGGGTAGGGGCGGTGCGGAACCCTTAAGGTTGGAGTTCAACCTTTAAAAATTGATATTGAAGCGTCCGATTTTAAAAATCCGACCTCACGACATAAATTGCATAATATGCACGAAGATATCTGTATTTAAAATTGATGATACTTGTAAAGCTCAATTTACGATCTTCAAAGGAGATGCTTATTGAAGGATCTATTTGGCATGGCTTTTAAAAAGTCGAGAGGAATTTTTTATTTCACATTTAGCTAATTTTATAAAAGTACCTCTAATAGTTAAGATATTTTTTTTAGAAGAAGATGGTCCAATACTGTTTCCTTTAAAAACACTTACGAAGTAGAATGTTCTTTTAAAAAGTAGTTTTCAAACAAAAATTAAGGTAAACGAAGTAAAAACAACAATGATACCAAACAGGCCCTAAGTGTAGACACTTTGAAGTAATGGTCGTGCTAGTGGTACATAGAGGTATAGCTAAGATAGTACACCCTTCTCACATTGGATGTGGAATCCACCCGAATAAAAAACACTTATTCGAGTGAACTTCACACCCATATGAGGAGTGTGTACACCCTATCGTACACCCCATTATGTACCACTAGATTAATTCTTGAAGTAAATGCCTTTGCTTGCGTGCTTTCAAAGACGACAAAATTATAAACTTTTAAAAAGTCAAAATTATTTTTAAAATTAAGAAGCTATTTTTGATATCATTCAAGTAATTTTTTAATAATATTTTGTTTTTGTTAGAAAAGTTTTTAAAGAAAACTGATTAAGACATCTAAATCTATTCCAAACAACTCAATACTCAAATTGTGGACGTATTATTCATGCAACTGCAACTCGTCGTACCAAACGGGCATTTCATACTGATGGAAAAGATGAGAGAACAAGCATAGCTTCTCCCCTTCATCCTAATCAAATCGTAGTGAATCCGAGAAGATCCTCACCATTCATCCAAGTAGACTACGACAAAGTAAAATACCATTAACATCAATTGAAACCTGTAAATGGTGCATATGGATGTCATGTCACCCACATAAAGACGTCCTTAATGAAAGGTAAATAGGCTTTTCCTCTAAATGAACAGTACAGTTTCAACTCGTTGCACCCAAGCCTCTTGCTTTTGGACGTCTCACTGCCACTAAGGGATTGACCATGCCTTGTGACTCCTTGCCAAGGCCCGAGCCTTCAACAAAGCCCATTTTTGCCATCATCTTGGATCCAAATCCCCTGGTATGCTTTTCAAAACTGCCAAATGTTTGAGTTTCTTTCCTCGCCAATTTCTCATTTTTCCCAGAAAACTTTCCACCTGATCCAACTGACATAGGTTGAGATAGCATTTTTGTCGATTTATCACTTGTTTCAGGGACCTCAGCACCCAAGCCAAGTGATTTAGGCCGTTGAAGCACTTCAATGGGCTGCGCCATGCCTTTTCCATCCTTTCCCAAGCCTCCACCCACAAATCCCATCTTGGCCAACATTTTTGACCCGAACCCTGTGGTGTGCATCTCAAATGCACCATATTCCACTGAGTCAGAAACCTCTTTGCTTTCAGTTCCTATTTCATTTGTTTCATTTGATTCAATGGTTCTCGACTCAGAACTCATAATACCACTTGAGATGAATGACAGAGGCTGAGCTGCATAGGATCCTACTTTCCCGGCCCCATTTATCTTTCTCGCTTCCCTACTAGCATGGTGGGTTGATATATTCTTACTTGATTTTCTCCGGGAAGATTGTGAGTTTGAAGTGGCATTTCCATCTCGATCTGCTTTAACATACTTCTTATTGCTCACCGTGAAATCATCATCCTCGTGATCTGCTCCTATCAGCTGAAATACAGAAACAGCGCATCTAAGTTAAACACGGAAGAGAAATTGTAACTTCTTGGACTAAAGACTCAGCTTGTATGTAAAACTGAAGGGTGGAAGGGAAAAAGGAAAAATCAACAAAACTAGGAATGGAGTGGATATACAAGATCCAATACCTTCTCCATGCGAATTTTATCACTGGGAGATGGCATACATGTATGCTGTGTTCTGATCACCGTCACAAACCTGAGAAACAATACACCATGTTTTTACTTTGAAAATCAGTACACAAGTCGTTAGCCAAAAAGCTAACAATTATAATATATAAGATGTACAGCTGATACAAAAAATGGGAAGTCCCACAATTGGTAAGCAACCATAGATCTGCTCAAAGCCAAAGCCATAGCCACGCCCGCAGACAAAGACAAAATATGTAGCAAGTGCAGGTGTAGCGAGGCAGTTGTGGCCAAAAATAGAGACCAACAGGCATAAAAACAGCCTTGCACTAGTACAAGTTGTGTAGAATACTTCCAGAACATTCTAGGGATCATGTTGAATATTGAATAGGGACCATTCTAGATTGTTCCATTTGCAACTATCTTAGTATTTTGGTGGAAATGCTATTAAAAAAATCTAAATGCTCACTTCAGGAGGTGTAACTATAAATCGAGGTAGGAAGCTCATTTGTTCCACCAAGTTGTAAAGTGCAATTTGAGAAAAATACAAGGGCATTCACATAAACTCAGTTCTTCATCTTTCCTAACCCTTATATTATTCCATTCTTGACTCCTTATTTAGTTGTGCCGCCTCCGCATAAATCTCATCAACCCAACTTCCAAAAGGCTGAATTAGCTAAGACCAAGGGCAGACAGTGACTAGATAATTGTCACACAGGTCTTGAAATAGTGAAGCCCATGACGCGAGCTTAGAATATCCTCTTGGGTCATTTTCATTGTCAACAAAGGTTTGCGTCATTGGCTATACACCATCAAGCCTGGAGTTTCAAAGCTAAGGCAAAGATTCCTTAAAGTTGAGATAATAAAATGACCTAGACACAACATCGTTCTTGCTATCAAGTTAATTTATAATGTGATATCAGGATAGACAACCCATTCAATATCACGTGTTAACTTATTGTCGAACATTTAGACGTGAAATACTAAACTACAGGTTTTAGTTGAAAGGAAACCAATTTACCATTGCCAAAACATGGAACCTCCAACTTGCCCTAACTTCGTAAGAATGTAAGTGCTAAAAATCCATATGGCAGAGGGAAATGCTAAAAATCCATATGGCAGAGGAAAGCCATTCTTTCCTTCCCAAAAATTAAAGAACGAGAAGAACAGTGGCATGGGCATTCGGCAATCAACCCAATACTCATAAATAAATAAATTATCTCAACACTTTGACTGACAGTTTAAATATATTGAAGGAAAGTAATATTTGTTATTACCATATAACTCAAAAAAATTGAAGGTAACATACTGTACCTCTTCTTGCCAGATCCTTGGCAATCACTTCTCAAGCGATAAATTGCAGCTAGTTTCCGAACCTATACAAGTCAAAACCAATTGTTAACACAAAAAAAGGGGACGTAAGATGAAGATGAATTTAATCTAGTACCGGTGTTAGAAGTTCTCTTAGATTGTATTTTGTGGTCTTTTAAAAATAAGCCCCTACTCGTCAAACAAGAGATGCTTTACTTATGTGTAAATTCTGTTAGACTAATTTCGAATTTGAGCAGAAAACCCACAGAAACAACATATTTTTCATCAGGGGAAAGAGGAGAGATTAGGTTTGAAATGAAATTTCAAAATTGGCTCTTTGCCCCTCATTGCATTGCACCTTCAAAAACAGATAGAGTCCTAATCCCCTTCCTCTTTCCCTCCTTCCAATTTTAACAAAAAGCATGTCACTATTTGAACGGACATACAGTGCAAAAGATGAGGCAACATGAAAACACAGTCCCACAAAAAATATTCATATAGATACAGAGAAGGGAGAAGACATCAGATGAAAATTTTAAAAACCTTGACATTGAACCAGCAAACTCACTGTTAAACTATTTGGAAAAAAATTTCATACAACCAAAATGTTGAATATGACATATATTCAAGTTAATGATGGACTTCTAATATCGATTGATGTCCATTAATTGAATTATTGCAAATATAACAGTCTTCAGAGATGCTCACTCCACAGAAGGAAAAAAGCTCACACGATTATAAACGGAGGGAAATGATAACTAAAGGAATGGAGGTTGATAGCTAGAGGAGTGGAGGTGTAGCCTGATTACCTGAGAACAATCACGTGTGGGCATAGGCTGGAAAGATAACATATCAACTCCATCCAAAACCATCTGCTGCAACTTCTACAGTTCAAAACAGAGTGTTGGTCATTTCCAAGACTTCACTAAACAAACCTTATTGAATAATACTGATATTTGAAACGTGAAAGACAATTACCGAGTCAAGTTCCCAGTTGGCTTAAGGTAGATTATAACACATTCTCAAGTAACATCTATAATAAGAACATTTCTCTTAAAGAAACTTCCTTTCTACTATAACAAATAGTCACACCTGACCTTAAACATACATCAGAACAGGAGCAGAAAGACAAAGTAAGATGGTATTGATGAATAGCTGGGGTAAAATAAGAGAACAAAAACGACCATGTCTCCACATCAGTCACATCACAGGTATATACCAAATTTTCTGAGCTATTAGCCATAAAACTCTGTACCTGCCTGAGGCACAATGTGTGCCTAAGACTTCAAGGATATCAAGTCTAACTGACAAAACCTCCCATTTGTAAAGCTGATTTTAAAACAGTCATACCTATTTTGGCAGCCCATTTTCACATTCACGATTCAAGTAAAAAAACTAATCATATATGCTCTGGCTCATAAGCCTCTGAGTCGAGTATAACCATAAGCACATAATTGAATGGATCACACAACTAAATGGCTAGTGCATAAAATAAATTTAAACATCGCTCCAACTTAGCACAGGATATTATGCCTGCCATCAAAAGCTTTAGGACTAAGAAGTACTTGCTAATAATGACAACTTGAAATGAGAAACATGCTAGAAAAGAGATTAACAACCGTTCTTACGTATATTATGAACCAGAATAATAGATTTAGGATAGGAATGTGGAATATTGAGAGAAGAAAAATCTTAAAAACTACTAAATGATGTGTGGGAGAAAAATTAACATGGCTTGCATGGAAGGGGTCAAATGAGTGAGTGAGAAGGCACAATAATTAGAGATAAGCTTTGGCAAAAGGGCAAGGATAAATAAGAAGAAGAAGAACAGAGAGAGAGAGGAGGAGAAAAAAAATAGGGAAGGAATAATCATTAAATTGCTTGAAAACATGAAGTCTTAGAAGTTAAACAGGCTAGGGAAAGGATAATATTAGTTAGATTTGTAGAAGGAGAAAGTTGATTAGCGTAATTGGTGTGTACTCTCCCAAATATGACTAGACAAGGCAATAAGGCAACAGTATTGGGAATCCTGCCCCAGATAAGATCTTTGTTGCAAGAGATTTGAAGAATTGTCTAGGAAAAGGTAACTAACTCAGGATATGAAAGAATATGTAGTAATTTTGGTTTTGGGATCGAAATGAAAAAGGTAACACTACTTTGGGCTTTGGGTAGGCATATGATTTGGTGTTACTGAATACATGCTTTAAAAAGATAGACACCCACCACATAACTCAAAAATGGGCAAAAGTACAACCACATGGATATTATCTTTGCTAGAAAAGTGAATGTGTAAACAGGGCAATGATTGTAAGGTAATTCTAGTTAAGAGCTTAACTATACAACATAAGTTAGTGGTGCTTGACATTGATATTAAGAAAAGGAAAAGATATACCAAAAGAGACAAGAGAAACATAATCATAATACTTCATCATTCAGAATTCCTTTTTCAAGAATCGGAATCTAGAAATCAGAGGCAATTGGCATTATGAGGATGCCCAAGCCACAATGCTGGCATGAGTAAAATTTTCACAAGAAATGAGGAAGACCAAATATGAACCCAAGATAAACACTATCTGGCTCAAAAACAGAGTTTGCTTTCCTTCTTACCAAATTTATCTGCTGAAGATCTACACCACGGCGAATCATTCTATCCAGACGCTTTGCTGCCATCATTTCTTTGCGATGCTTCTTTTTTTCACCTGAGATCATTAACTACCAGTATATGCAACGAGATTGAAGGCATGTGAACAAATAATCAAAGGCTAAAAGAAAGCAATATCAATGATCATAAGTAACAAACTGAATTTTATTTCCTCACTTGGTAAAATCTACGGGGTAAAGAATAAAATAAATTATTATAAAGAAATATCAAAACATGACTCCCCATCAAATCCACCACACAGAAGAATAATAAATAAGCATCTAACAGAGTTTGAATAATCAATTACCATGAGATTCAATGTAACAGCAGTACTCACCTGGTATTCTCCTGAACTTCTTGTTCTTGCGACCTTCAGAAGGCCAAGATTGTGGAAATCTAGCGACCTGTTTCTTTCTCCCAGAAGCATTTCTTGGATCCTTTACAAGCATTATATCATCCAGAGCAGATGACCAAGCATACTTAACAGCTGGAGATTTGCGATCTTCCACGTGATTTTTTCTTCCTGATTCAGGCTTCCTCATACCATACTCTCTCGATGCCTCCTGAAGAGCAATCCCACCCAACTTCTCTAGAGTGTCATCAAAGTTCACCTTAGAATTGCTACGACTGCCAGACACATCAGAAATATGTCCAACCAACTGATCAGCATTTACAATGTTGTACGCCCCACCAATGCCCTCAAAGTAATCTGCGGCGACTTCTTCATCAATGTCTGAACCACTATATGACGAGCCATCACTATCAGATGATGTGCAGGAATCTTCTGTGTCGTGAGAACCTGAGCTTTCTTCATCAATCAATTCTTCTTCATCCTCATCAGAGATATCATGAGTATATATTTTCCTACCTCCAATTAGCAGAAAGCCTGTACTTTCCTCCTCAGTTGACATCTCCGCCAGGAATTCCTCATCAATTTTGGTATTTGCACCTTGAACAAAATCAACATCAGCATCCATCTCATCCTCCTCAGAGGAAGCTGAGTCGAAAGTAGAACCCTCTTTCTCAACCATTTTGGACGATGATCCAAAACCGCTCGGAGTTGCTTCCATTTCATCATAGAAACCCAATCCCCTGTGCGAGCTATCATCCAATGTGAAATTCGTAGTATAGTCATACATACATTCAACAGGTTGGGGTTCCTTAACTGGTCCTTCGTCCATATAGGCAACAATTGGGGTCTTCCCAGAATCAATCAAAACTATAGGTTTTGACTTGTCAAATTTGTTCTCTCCGTTTTCACCCATGTCCGTAAATGCATTTTCCTGACCATAAAGAGAATTATCGTCGGTCCAACATTTCACTAGCAAGTTAAATACATCATATTAAGAATTTTTATCTGTATCCAGTGAATTAGGGATCAACAAAATATGGTAAACAGCAATACAAATCTCTATAGTTTAGAAACATTTATCTATACGAAATGAACTAAGAAAATCTTTTTGACGATATTACAAATTAGGTTTTTCATTTTTTTCTTTACACACTTGCACCAAATTAATCAAACTTTACTGTGGAAAATGGTTATAAACTAAAATTCTGCAGAACATATTACTTCTACGTTCTTCATTTTTCAATAATTAGGTTTTTCATTTTTTCTTTAAACACTTGCACCAAATTAATCACACTTTACTGTGGAAAATGGGTATAAACTAACATTCTGCAGAACATATTACTTCTACGTTCTTCATTTTTCAATAAAAGAGCCACAAATGTATTTTTAGCAACCCCCCCCCCACCCCCCCTCGGAAAAATAAAAAGGAACCTTTCCCTCAAAACCGAAAACAAGCGCGCTTCAGAAATCAGAAGAAAATCTTAGAGATCTCAAAAAATAAACATCTCAGCTAAAATTTTTGATCATTAACCGATTTCATCCTCGCACACAGAAAAATATTACAATATATGCTCTTCACGAAAAATAAACATAAAAGTATACCTTTGTGTACACGTAGCCGATTGCATTTCCTCTACTCTTCCTAGACTCGCTGCTGGGACCCGAACCCGAACCGGGTTTCGTATCCGAATTGCTCCCTTTTCCTCCCCCGGATCTCGAAGCCGACTTCGATTTCCCATTTCCGCCGTTATTCCACTTCCTCCCTAACAGAAAAAACTATCTCTAAAGAAAAGGAAATAAATACTTTTATACACGCACGGTTTAATCATAAAACCAGAAATTAATACCTGTAGAAGGAGGAGGACTAAAAGCGGACCAATCAGATAATACCCCACCTTCTACAAAGAGGGCTCCTTTAGAAGAAGAAGCAGAGCCCTGTGACCTGCGGCTTTTCGCTTTGTTTGACTTTTTTCTGTTATTTCCACCCATAATTATTTATCGCCGCGGATGTAGATACAAATGTACGTACGTATATTGAGTGTGTGTGTTCTGCGTGTTTGTGCGGCGATGGAGGCGGTTAACGAACCGGTGGTGAGAAGGAGATGAAAGAGATCTCGGTTGGGCAACGATGGATTATAGCGTGATATAGGATGTAGAGTCCCGTCGTGGTTGATAAATTAGAGGTTGTACGTTTTGAAATTATAAGAGGAATTCTGCACGTACAAGTACTCATTGCGTTGCATATGTTACATTAGCTTGTTGCCTGCTGAAAGGAATGTACTACAAAATATTCTCCCAATAAAAGAAAAGAGGAAAATGAAAATTAATAACACTGTGTGTTTCTTTTTATTTTTTGTATTGGGGTTAATTTTTCTAATGGTCACTAATTTTACATTTAGTGTCATTTTAGCTATGAAACTTAAATTTGTTTTAAACTCATCACTGAACTATACCAAATATTTAATTAAAACTATCGATTCAATTTGACATTCATTTTATTAACTAAGAATTCATGAGCCAAGTAGTAGGATTTAATTGAAATTCCCTAATAGTTAAATTAATTGACACATGAACACATAATTTTCAGTTAAAAAAATGAATGTCAAACTAAATCGATCATCTTAATGAAATATTTTGTAAAGTTCAATAATGGCTTTAAACAAAATAAAGATCAATGGTCAATGATATATTGAGTGAGAAGTTTTCGCCAAATAAATAAAATTAATTTCCATAATAAATTATTTGCTAAAAAATTGATAAGTCCGCCCAATTTTTGTATTTTTCATGCTTAGCTAAAAAGACGGAAATTACTCTGCCTACACCAACCTATGTGACGCGATATGATAAATTCAATTAAAAATAAAATTATATGATTTATTTAATTAAATTTATAATTTAACCTCCGTTTGGCCCCCATTTTCTAGAAACAAAAATGACTAGAATCGTATTTTTAGAAAAATAGTGGTTAAAAAAAAGAAAAAAATTTCGATTTATGTATAATATTATTTTATTGAAAATTGTGCAACTAAAAATAAAAAAGAGAAAAATGAAATATAATATAATAGAATTTAATGTTGGTCAAACGAAGTACGACCGTACGTGTTGAATTACTGTTGTCCAAAAACATCGGGTGGCCCAACCCAATCTTGAATGCCGAAGTTTGTCCGTTAATTTCAGGCGTCGTCCTTCTCCGTTACAAAAAATCAACAAACGACCACGACCACCCGACGCCTCCTCCGCGCCCCTACATACAGAACCCCTCAGTGCATGAGTTTTATACCTTCTTCCACCAGCACAGTCGCCGCCTAACCTATCCTCCCCGCCCCAATACACAAACGAATTCCCCTTAGTGCGCCTTTCAACCATGTTGAATTACTCCCCCACTGCCACTCACTGCTGCAACGTTCCTTTAACTCCAACCTGCTCTTCTCTCTTTAAATCATCTCCCTCATCATCACTTCCTAATTCTCTCTCTTTTTCATCCGCTCTTGTCACGCAACAATTAGCTTCGCGCCATGTCTATGCAAATACAAATCCCAATATTAAAAGCAAACCCCTACACAAGGTCAGCTTACTATCTCTCTTTGTAATCTGAAATACGCAGTAGATGCTAGTAATTTACTCCTTTTTATTTTTGTATTAACAACTATAGAAGTGGGTTTCAAACTGGAGGGAAAATCGAAACAATAATGTATTTTCACGTGTATGTTTATGCACTAAGTTGTTTGTTTTTCAAATAATACTTGTTAGTTTTTATGTCCTATTATTGATTTGGTTGATTTGTTTTAACTGTTGGAATCTTTCTTCTATTTTCTGGGTGCAGGGACTGAAGATAATGTGCTCGACAAGTGAGCCATTGAAAGTGGTGATATCTGGGGCACCAGCATCGGGGAAAGGGACTCAATGTGAGATGATTGTTGAGAAAGTGAGTTAATTTCGTGTTCTAATACATTGTCATTACTCGTGAAGTTGCCAAGAGAACTGTTTTTCACTCTGCTCTAAAAAGAAAAAAGAGAAAGAAAGGAAAAGAACATTTAGATGTGAACTTTCATTAGAAAATCAACTTTTATTGCTAGTACAAGACGTCTTATACCCTTCTGGCAGAGAGAGAGAGTGAATGAAAATAAATACCCTAGGTTGTTTGACTTGTAGTGTTTCTGCATTCCATATTTAAGCTGATTACCATGCCCATGTCTCTTATGAATCCATCCTACAGATATGCACTACTCTCTTCATCAATATAAGAAAAATTAGCTGTGACTAGATTTCCACAAAATTATTGATACTGAAGTGGGAATGTGGTGAAGGAAAGTGAAGTGAATAAATTCACTTCTTGAATAGAAAGCATAACTCAGACACTTTTTCCTTTTCCATGAACTCCCTAATTCAGTAAGTTTCAGCTAGATCTTGTTTTCAATAATAGAGGTGAATGTGGATTTTTTCTTGAAGTCTCTCTTTGTAGTTGGCTTGTAGCTAAAAGTTGCATCTAGCTTGCTGCATTCATTTTTACAGATTAGTCCTAGCAACCAAAGGTGGTCCACCTGATCCATGCTCTTCTTGTTATTCATCTTTCTCCCTTAAAAAGCAGACACGTAATGAGAAAAAGAACATGCTTCTGATAGCATAGTTATTGGCAGTAATATCTCACTCCCATAGTCTTCACTGCTTTCTCCAAGTAATGAAACTGTTTCAACATATAAATTTTCTCTTTTTGACTTCTCTCCCGGATTCTTCAGTTTGGATTGGTACATGTATCAACTGGAGATCTTCTACGAGCTGAAGTATCTGCTGGTACAGAAATTGGAAACAAAGCAAAGGAGTATATGAGTTCTGGTCATCTAGTACCTGATGAAATTGTGACAGCTGTAGGTATATTTTGCTTGTTGCATTTTCTCTCTAGTTCACGAATGTACTGCAGTAACACTTCATTTTATAGATGGTGACAACAAGGTTATCTCTAAAAGATGCTCAGGAGAAGGGGTGGCTCTTAGATGGATACCCTCGAAGTTTTGCCCAAGCAGAGAGTTTGGAGAAAAAGAACATTAGACCAGATTTATACATTATGCTTGACGTACGTGTGTTGTTATATATTGACGTTCTAAAGCTTCTTTTACGTCAACCGTTTGTGGAAGCTTGCTGCATCCCAATTCTGCTTCTAGAAAGGGAAGAAAAAAAGAATAAGCAAATAATTCATTAGATATCACACAGACAAAAGAAGGCTTTATTTATTTGGGTAGAAGACTCAAAAATTAATAATACTTAGAGATAATCTTTCAGATTATGAAGTTCTATTTTATATTACTACCTCAAAGACTACAATTTAACAGAACATGGAATTCAACTATTTTTTAATATATATTGGATCATATCCCCTTTAAAGGCTTTAAATATTCAAACTTATTCAGGAGTATTGGATCTGACGTGTATTAGAAATTCAGGTAACAGCCCATCTGTAACTCCATGCATACTTGAGAAAGGGTGTAGAACACTTTTTCAATTATCATAAAAAGAAGGATTTTTCTATCAACATAAAGTTAACTGAATTTTTCAGAACATAATTTTTATTTTGGTGAAAGGGAAGAAAGAAAATCACATACTCCTGCCTAAGGAGTATTTCCTTGATTCCTCCACAGGCAAGGTTCATGTGAACTCATCCCATTAGTAATATAAAATGTGTATCATGTGCAAACTTGTAGCTTTTTGCCTACGTGCACAGGGTTTTTTATAAATATGCTCTTTTGTGCTATTTGTATGGCAGAGGAGAGAACGCGCTTCAAAATATATATATATATAAATTCATGAATCCAAACTAACCATCATGAATATGTAAAGATTTTTGAGAAGTCTTCCTCATGTCTAGGGTGTCAAGCATTAATTATAACATGGAAGGAAAATATGTTGCATGAGCAATTGCATTGACTTAAGCTTAAGCTTAACTTTAACTCTACTTATTTCATTTCAAAGAAAAATACTAGTTCTCTATTTAGAATTGCTTTGTGGGACTTATTTTTACAGAGACTATCTTTTATTCAGGTTCCTGATGATATTCTAATCGACAGATGTGTTGGTAGAAGGCTGGATCCTGTAACGGGAAGGATCTACCATATAAATAATTTCCCTCCTGAGAATGGTGAAATTAAAGCAAGGCTTATTACTCGCCCTGATGACACAGAGGATAAGGTATCTCAACCTAACGGTGATAAATATCTCATGTTTCCTGCACGTATCTGATGCTTTTATGGGATAGTTCATCTCACTGGCATTGTACTTCGTGTAAACTTGGAAAATGTCACAGAACGTGCCGTTTGATACCTTCATTGTAAGTGGATGAATTTCATCTAAAATGCTAAGGCCATTGAAGCCTTTAGGATGCACTTTTTCGTCTGAGCATTAATTTAGAATTTCTTCAGGTTAGTTGTTATATTATTTTTAAAATAACAGACAGGTGAATGATGTCTACCTACTAAGCTGAATAAGATCTTTAAGCTTATTGTAGTGTTGGCTGAATGCAAATTTTCTAGTCAGAGGAAACAAGAAGTCAAACATTCTTGAAGGACATATGTATGGAGGAGAATATATCTGACAAATCTGCTCAGATACACTATTATTAGCTGTAAAATGAATATTTGAATCTATGCTCATTTAAGCATTATGTTTCTTGGAAATAAGTGTGGGAGTACTGCAGTGATGTTGCTATATGAATAAGTTTCAAAATCTGACTATATATATTAATTAAAATGAAAAAGTTGCATAGGTGCTGATTGGGATTGATAATAAGCAGGAAGAACCTAATATGCGGTTAGTTATATATGAAGAAACACGATTTCAAGAGGCAAGTGATAGTGTGGCTATAGATTGGCAACAAAGAGAAGCTGATGGAATTTCAGTTAAGCCCAATCAGAAAAAAGGTTGCTGAACATATCCATGCTGGAAATGTGTACTTTTAATAATAGAATGACTTGAAAGTTCCATATCCTTTGACAATACTTGCCTTATATGGATATTATAATGTTCCAATATATCATAACTTATGCATTGTGCGTCTTAAACAGAAGTTGATCAGTCTTTCTCGTATTCTCAAAATAATTGAATTGTTAAATGTTGACATATATATGAAGATTGATCCAATTTATAAGCATAACCTCATGATTTCACATGCTGGAATTTGACTATTAACAGTTAAATTACTAGGAAGGATAAAGTGTTTATGGAGTTAGGTGAGAGAAAGTGTAAAAGTACAGCTAACCTGTAGTCACGTTCGGATATCTTCACTGACCTATTGGAATATATATTCCTACCCTAAATGCATATTCAATGTTTTCAGGTGAAATCACGCCTGCGAATATACAAGCAAAATGCAGAGACGGTTTTATCGACATACTTGAACATATCGAAGAAGGTATTGTTAAACTTGAAGATGGTTGTTTTACTTCAAACCCTGTAAATGTGTATATTCCCATGAATTTTTCTTATTACTACTTATTCAATAGATTGATGGAAATCGTCCAAAAGGAGTGGTTTTTAAGGAAATAGATTCTTTGTTGTCAAGAGTGCAGAAAGATAAAGAGGCATCAAAATCAGGTAAATTCTTCCAGCATAAATGTCCAATTACAATGAATTAATATAAGAGCTGTAAGCCTTTGTTTTTGATGAAAAATTATCAGTTGCAGCTCTTCAATTTGACACCTCGGGCTGAGAATGGGGGACAGACAAATTGACATCATAAATATCTAGTAGTAGAGATATTTCTCTTTTCAAATATCGTGTTCTCAAATAATTCAACTCAACCTGCCAATTTTCAGCCAGACTTTTATCTGCTGGTAATTGTTTTGGATTCATTGATCTTCATTACTATACAGGTAAATTAACAGTAAGTGACAGCCATTCTGACGGGAAACCTTCAAACAAGGTATCTAGTTACTTGTTATAGTTTATATAAGCATAGACATTTTCTTGAATTCTCTTGAGATATCAGATAACTACATAAAGTTTGAAAAGACTACTGTTAGCTCTGTAGATTCCTTCATGTATTCTGCCATTGACTTCTACAGGAAAATTGGAGAGGAATACCAACCAGACTGAATAATATTCCTCATTCTAGAGAAATCAGGGAGTATTTTTATGATGATGTTTTGCAAGCAACCCAAAGAGCAATAAATGATGGGAAAACTCAAATAAAGGTCTGATATCTTTGTAGGTTCCTTTTTAAATTCAAAGAGATGCAGTTAGGTTGGCTTTATGACTTCTTATTTATAATCATTTTATTATATTCCTTAATGGAGAATCTAGCTACTTTGTGAGGCTACAACATGAACTTCTTATAGATATTGAATATCTAAAATTATAGGAGTTAATGGACGTATTTTGCTACTCAAACAGGGGCAGGGTCCTTCATGGACATATTCATCTAGTGTGGAAATTCTGAACTCCTGTTAATTGCGAGTTTAAATCAGAGAGAGAGAGAGAGAGAGAGAGAGAGAGAGAGAGAGAGAGATGGAGAGGGAGAGGGAGGGAGGGAGAGATTGGAAGGATTTAATTTTTCTCAGGCATACTGCTTATGATGGAGAAAAATCGAAAGTTGATGTTAGTATAACTATTAAAATGCCTCTTTTCTTTTACTTTGTTTGGGGAATGGGCCAAGAGCATTGTAGTATATTCCTTGAACCTTAGTATCTTGAATTTGTCAAGAGCTTGAGCTCATGATGAATAATGATGTGTTCTAGGTGGAGATCAATATTCCAGAGCTGAATCCAGAAATGGTGAGAATCTTTCTTTTATTCACTTCCTTTTTTATATTTAATTCTTTCTGATCAGTTCAGAGTTAATGATATCTTGTCATGAACAGGATGTTTATCGAATAGGTACCTTAATGGAACTTGTTCGTGTTCTTGCTCTTTCCTTTGCAGATGATGGAAAGCGTGTCAAGGTTAATATAACTGGCTTCCTACTATTGATCTAATGTTTTTCATACAGTAGGTATGTATTGATCTTCCAGATTTCTCTTTTAGGTTTGCGTGCAAGGGTCTATGGGAGAAGGAGCAGTTGCTGGAATGCCATTGCAGCTTGCAGGAACTCGAAAAATTTTAGAGTTCATGGATTGGGGAGATTATGGTGCTAGGGATACTTTTATCAAGATTGGTTCTATAGGTATTGGACTGAGTTGATTAATATGTGTAAAAGTGTTTTGTGAAGCTTTGTTATGTATTTCTTTTGGATGTTAGCATTCCGTAATCATTGCTGATTCAATATGCATACTAATTCTCTTGTTTTCATGTTAATTATTTGTCCTCTTTTATGGTGAAACGCCTAATTTCTAGTAAAGATGAAGTGCCTGTTTGGCAAAGCTTAAAATAAAATTTAAGCTGGTCAAGCATACTTTTTATTTGTACATTTTGTAAAATCCATAACTTACTATTTACTTATTATCCACACATTCCATGGGATCCACAACGTATAAGTACTTAAAATCAATACCAAACAAGCATGAAGGTAATAATGTTGGTGAAGATAGTAATTCCATGATGATGAGAATGCTAATGTTGGAATTACTGTAATATTAGTATTCTAAATTTTTGGAATAAGATAATCTTGGTGCTCTTATCTTTTACATGCTCTTTTGTCTGGTTTCTTGTCAGTTATTGATTTATTGCAGCAATAGTTTGTGAATTCAGTTTGAAGGACTTCAAAATATAAGTTCACTGGTGATATGACCCTCGATATGAATATGTACTGTGTGTCTGCAGGTGGCAAGGAGGTTGATGAGCAAGATGACATGTTTATCTTAGTGGCTCCTCAAAATGCTGTGGGAAACTGTATCATTGATGTCAGGAACTAGAGAGTAAAATGTGATTCGCTTCTTGATTATATTTAGATTCTCTATTTCACAATCCTGGAATTTAATAATGCAGGATCTTAGAGCTATGACTACTGCTGCAGGACATCGTCCCGTTGTTCTTGTCAATCCTAGGCTGAAGGTTGGATTAAAAACTCTATAAGCAGTATGCTTCATTCTTTATGCGTATTTATATATTGTTTAGAAGAAAAGGTAAAAGAAACTTTAGTTCTTACCCTGATGCTTGTTCCTAGGTAGGCAACTGAAAAATACTTTGAACCTCGAGTTAATTGTAACCACTCTCGTCGCATGAGTCTTTTCAAATGAGTCAAATATATTATTACAAAAGCAAGTTATTGGGCCATACACATTACTATATTCTTCTTTCAATGATTCAACTAGAGCTGTGAGCAAGTTATGCTGAGTCAAATACTTGCAAATGATCTCAAGCTAGACTAAAAGCTTGAGCTGCATGGAGCTTGATCACCTGATAGGCTTTGAACAAGCAGAACTAAGAAAAAAATTAACTTATTCATAAAATCTCTAGTAGACTTTGAGCTCTTTTGTGTCCATTAGAAAAATTTAGCTAGCCTGTTTAAACTAGTTCGTTAATAAATTTGTAAGCTTGAGTTTAATTTTGTTAATCTGGTTGATTCATTTAAGCTAAAAGTCTAGCTTGAGTTGGAAACTTGCATGGAAACCAATGTGTTCAGCTTGTTTGAAAATTTTGCTAAAATATGAGACCTTGTCGAATGATAGATATTTGACCTGCACAAATCCGTGTGCACAAAAAAGTTCAAGCTTGAACTCCTGTTCCTCTTTGTCATAGATAGAATTTTGTCCAAGTGTCAATATAAGCTCATAAATTGAATATCTAGTGGTATAACGAATATGATACCCTGATAAGAGAAGCCCCATAGGTTGGTGGTAGTAGATTAGCAGCAGTACCAAGCTTTTTATCAGTTTTGTGTACCTAAGTATTAGTTTCACCACTTTTGGTAGGTATACTGGAGGATTCTATTAAAATCAGACGTCCTTCAACTTGAAATAATGAAAGTATCTATGTACTACAGTTCTGTTATCCTGGTTATCTTTATGCAGATTGTCTTGAAAAATCACTGATTATTATTCGTATTGAAAATTGTTAGGATTTGCCAGGTTCAAGTGGCATCATGCAAGTAAGTACTGACTGATCAGGCACAAATAATTGCATGATCACAGCATCTATTTGGTGAGTTTCTAATTTGTGAGTTATCTGCAAGACAATGGGTCGAGAGAAGAGATTAGAATATGCCGCTTCATTTGAAATATGCTACTGCTTCCGGCTGCTCTATTATGCGGGGACACAATATCCTATCATGGGGGCTCTCAGGTGTGATTATTAGTAATTTATAGTCCTGCCATTTCTTTCAAAACCAATTTATAAGTAATTTCCTCCCCTCTTGCTGTATGCAATGTTTATGGTTTATAGTTAGTATTGAAGCTATGAGCTATATTTTTGGAATGACATGCATTATTAAACTCACCTCAATTTTTTTTTACAATGTTCTCTGAAGTAACATGTCAAGTACTTGAGTTCTCACTGACTCTGGCTGTATGAGGGGATATAAAGATAGATATACATGAGTAAATATAAGCAGAAATGTAGAGTACTAATGCTGAGGGGATGCCAATAATTTTTGGAAACTATTATGGAATAATTGTCCATGTTGAGGCTCACAAGAGAAGTTGCATTATAATATCAGGATGTCTTACCCGTATGAGTACGAGTTGTACAAGAGGGTGGATGTATCTGCTGGGAAGGAGAAATATGTAATCTTGTCAACATTTCCAAAAAGACCTACTGGAGAAGAAATCAACGACGCATTTGAAGGAAAAACTAGGTAACACAACTCTATATTTTGAAAGTTAGCTGCTTGCTTTTGAAGTTTGCCTCCAGTAATTAGTCCATATGTATCATAATTTGATTGTCATACTATACTTGCAGAAATGAAACTAAAAGAGCGACCGGAATATGGTAAGAATACAAGTTCATTTCATTGTACATATGAAATTCGTTTGATGTTAATGACATACTTTCATTTCCTTTTAGGGGCTTCTTGAGTGGCATACTTTGAGCCAAAAAAGCAGGCGTCGACTAAGAACTGCACCCTCTGTCCCTATCAGTCTATCAGGGATAATGGTACATAAAACACCCATCGCTCAATACTTTAAACTGAAGATTGAGTTATATTTTTCACACTTTTAATTAATTTTACTTTTTTCCATTTTTCCTGCCACAGAATCTTGGAAATGGTTATCCATCTAACAATAAGATTTCTATATTCCAGCATTACGAGGTGAAAAATGCAACCTTATGGTAGTATTTTGCCAATTGAGAGAGAGAGTTCTACTATACTTGGGTTTTAAATGAAAAAGTGATATTTTATTCATATATATTAGAATACCTTTGTTAAATAATCAACTTGTACTATAAGTTGTGAACGTGCATTGCATTTGTATATATATGAATTAGTGTAGGAGTAATATATATGACTCTTCTATTAATCCAAAGCACATATTGATAAATACAATTTCCGTTTTCAATGCTATTCGTCTTTTGTCTTGATGTTAAATCAATTGTTGGAAATTGAAGAAAAAAGTTTAACCTATATACGAATTTTACGAGTAATGAATGCAATAAGGAACGCGGAATGTGAAGATACCAAGTCCTTGTTTGATTTGGATAAATTAAAATTTATTTTTTTTAATAAATTTTAATAGAAGTTGGTGAAATATAGGACAAAAAAATTAATAAAACTTATGGATTTTATAAAATGTGGAGTTGAAAATAAGTTTTAATAAACGATAGTCGAAAAGGGGCTCAGTTATCACGCTCTTTATTTCATAGGCGACAGGGTTGAAATATTAGCATGTGCAATTTTATTCAAAAATCGTTCATTAAAAAATCAGTGTTCTTAAGATCGGATCGGATAGGTGAACCGGAAAAATTGGAAACCGACAGCAAAATCAATTTGATTATACTCACAAAACTGTTCATTCAAAAATCGGTGTCAAAACTGTTAAACCGGATGGCTAATCGAAAATCGGAGACCCGGAAAAGATTTTTACAAGTTGAATGGTCAGAATCAAGATACAAAAAAGGAAAAAATCCGGTGACTTTTCAATTTCTTTCTAGATTTAGAAGTGATCTTTATCCTTTTAATCTTACCTTTGATGAGGTTGAAAGAAACTGTTGTTGCTTTATGTTTCATCATCTTTTTTTCTTTTTTGCTTTCTATTTTTCAGATATTAGAACTATTGATTTTGTTCTGTTTCTCTTTCACGTTCACCGTTCTTCTTTCAATGACTGTATGATCATCTCTCTCAATTCTCAAAATCAAGAAAGTTGGATGACGGTAATGACAGGCTACACTTTTGTTTTAAAGAAGTAGATGGGTCCCATCATTTTTTAATTTAATATTATTTCTTTTTGTTTTGCACTAAATTATTGTTCGATAAACAATATTTGACTAATGATAATAAATTAGAGAGAGTGTATTTGCTAATAGTATGGTTGAATTGGAGATAGGGCTAGGCAAATCTCCCAAATCGAATCCGATGATTTTTGTCAAATTAAATATTCGAACGGGTATCTGAATTGAGAACCGATGGGTACGGTTTGGTTCTAGACCAAGAATCGAAAAATCGAATAAGAACCGAATCTTTCTAATTTTTTTTTATATTGAATAAATTAAATTATTTAAATTTTAATTTTTTCTAAACAAATTAACAATTTATAAATCCAAATTTTTGGTCCAATAATTTGTTTCATTCTAATTTTTTAACTTTTGGCCAAATTACCCATTTTATTATTACGTTTCTTAGTCGAACAAGATCCAACCCACTAAATAACCCTAAACACTTACATTAAAGTGCATAACGCTGTTTTGACTTTTGCAGCATCGCTGACATTCCAAAACCTATATAATAGTCGATCGACGCTGTGACCTCCGCCAATCAAAATTTTGACCGTAGCGATCATTTGAACAAGGTAGTCTACTAGTCCCTGACATTTCAAAACCATTGAATGTGTCATTAGTTATATTTATATAATGTTGTTATAAATGTTAAAAAAATTAATTATGGTACAGAACCTAACAGAATCGAACTGAACCGAACGGAACCGAATCCGAACGGTTCCATAATTACATTTGGACCCGACGGTTCCATTTGCTAAATACTCGAGAATTTTGGTTCGGTTCGATTCTCTTTAGAACCGAACCGACCCGTTCCCACCCCTAATTGGAATTAACCAATTAGGGTTAGATTTTTTTTTTTTTAAAGGATATTTATTATTTATTATTTTTGTCGATCGGTTCAATTTTGGTTCGGCCTCAGTTCAACCCATTGAGGCTTAACCCCTTACTTTTTTCGGATTCATGTTCGCTCCAATTTTCAAAACATTGGAAAAAATACTTTTAAAGGTATTGTTGCATGAATTTTAATTTTTTTAAGTGGGACCGTTCCTTCTGCTCATAAATTTAACATATTTATTCGACAAATAATCGTGACTTTTAGTTTATATTAATTCAACGCTCAATACATATTTCACTAAGATCATTGGAGAATTTATTATAACCACTCGAGATCTATAAGATATTGAGCGTTAGATTGACTTAAATTAAAACTCATGATTATTTGTTTAAAAAATTGTGTCAAAATTATCAGTTGAAAAAATGGTTCCCTTTTTCGTTATACATAAAAAGACTATAGTGTTAGTTCTTTCATTGAATAATGCTATGTAAGATTACAAACCCAATCTAAGTTACCTAAATGATAGGCTGATGAAATGTGAAATTAAATAAATTATTTAATTCCACCTATTTTCACATTAACGCCACTTAAACTGATGTTGTAACTCCAAAGAAGCTAAATAGCATTACTCTTCCTCATTATCAACATATGTATGTAATTAATTATAAGTTGATTGCACGAACTATCCTATGCTCTTGGCTTGTACGATTAGAAGAAATGTTTAGATATATGATACGATAAATCGACAGAATTAAATATGAACAAAAGGCTATATAAACCAATATTAGTTGAAGTTCAATTTCATCACATAATAGAGTAATGTAATATTTATTTATGATTTTGCTATTTGTAAAACCTAGGATGACAATGTGGCAATGTGGTGTGTTGGCAAAAAATAGTTGGTTGCAAAAAATAATTTTTTTTGTTTAAACTATCTAATAACATAATGTCATGTGGCATTCTGTAAACAAAATTGTCATCCATGTTGCTCACCAAGCACGATTCATTTATTTATTGCCACTACGAAATTAATATTAGAAAATCGTCAACACCCAAGAAGTCCACCTTTTGCCGTCTTTCATGCGCAGTGCATATTGACAATTTGATACAAAATTTAAGAATTAAAATTGAATCAAAACGAGGATTAGTATAGTGGTTCTAGTATTAAAATATATGATTAAGTGTAGAAATTCAATGAACCAAACCTAAAATATCTAATACCCAAACTCCAACTTGTACGTGTATGGGTGTCAACTGCTGGTCAACTCAGGCGCGCCTCACCAGTTAGTCGAGCAGCGATTTCACCATGCAACTAGCCCTTTGCACTTTTGTTGAGCGAGCTCGGTAAAACCCCGTAGTAGACGAGCCCACCCCCATGTACATGTGCATTTATGCTTATTTATATTTATTTAGAAATATAGTAGACGGGAAACTGAGAGAAGTAGGGGCTACCATATTGGTCCAAGCATTAAAGAGAGAGACTTCCATTCAGAGACTAGTTCCACTGAAAGTTGCATCATAAATGAAAAAGTTGATACAATTTTTGCAGTCATATTAGACCAAAACTAAAATGACGTGTTCTAGTTACTATGTTTCAAAGAGTTATTGAGTGCACATAAATAGTCAACTCGAAAGAATTGAAATTCAGATACCTCAGCCAAACTTTTGGTGGAAGGTAGATAGCCATGGCTGGAGGGTCTTTTGCACCAAGAGGTGTGGCAAAAGAGAGAGCAGAGCAGTACAAGGGAAGGGTCACTGCTTTTGTTATCATCGCCTGTATAGTTGCTGCAGTTGGAGGATCACTCTTCGGCTATGATATTGGAATTTCAGGTACAAACTCTTAATGTGTTTTAAATTCTATGTTTATTACCTGCCACAAAAAGTCTCCCTTAGGCCTTATCAGAAAGAAGAACAATTATAAATTCATCTTTATATTCATGTATGTTGATAGAAAGATCTTGAACCCACTATCTGTTCCAGCAAAACGAACAGCCCGGTTGGTCCAGATTGGTGGCCAAGATGGTGACCGAACAGGCTCTGACCAGAAAGTTAGAGAAGGGATTAAAATATGAAATGTGTTTAAAATTTGAGTGTGTGTGTGGGATTTGTTCTTGCATATCCCTACTACTTTTCCAAAATAATCCCCCGGATATATATAATTCAAAAGAATATGTGAGTGATTCATACACAGTGTCAGCATCTCTGTTGGTCTCATGATTATGATTTCATTCAAAAATTGATTGCAGCAATAAAGAATTACAGAAACATAAATAACACAAGAATTTTCGCCCCTAAGGGCCGGATGTTCAACCAAAAGGCCTACTCACCCGATCTACAAAAGTAAATTAGGCTCGAATCCACTAAGAATCACAAAGAATCGATACAAAATGTATGAAGAAACCACTGTTCCTTCAATTTCAGTTTTCTTTCGCCTCTCTTTTATACAACATTTAGTTTTCTACAATCTCACGGATCGTATACCAAATACAATCCTAACATCACTCAAATTAGAGATTGTTTTCAGAAAGATACAAGAACTGATGAGTCCAGAAAACCCTCATAGAACCATTCACTCACATTAGGGCAAAAGAGTCACGAGACTTTTAACAGTCCATCAAAATATCAATGATCCAACGATCGCAAAGGTGCTAAGTGTAAGGTCCACGACAGTCGCCCTTTATTAAGAAAAAACATGTTTCCAAAAACGCTTTTCATTTCCAAACATTTCAACTCGTTGGATCAACCAACCCGACAAGGCCCAATATTACTAAATTTGGTCCAGCCAAGATTAGAGAGGCAGCCCACCAACAATCTCTTTCTTTTTATCAAAGGTTCTACCAATCAATATCTTTCCACACAAAAATCGAAATTCTATTGCTTGATCTCTATCTTCAATTTTGGGAAACTTATAAAGTTCTTCTGTCAAACAATTTAGTTTAAAATTTGTGTCTTTTCTGAGAAGTACAGATCAAAGTTTCAGACAGTAAATTTTGGGTTCTCTAGCTGTTGGGTTTGAATGGCTGTCAAATATAAGCTTATAACTGCAGAACAAATGCATATAAATTGGGGGAATGGGAAGAACTAATATGCCAGTGAATGGCTGAGAAACTGAAGATGTCTGTAATTATTATTGACAGGTGGAGTCACCTCAATGGATGGATTTCTCGTGAAATTCTTCCCCGCAGTCTACAGACAAAAAAAGCACGCGCATGAAAACAACTACTGCAAATACAACAACCAAGGCCTTGCAGCATTTACTTCTTCTCTATATCTTGCTGGCTTGGTATCGTCTATTGTAGCATCTCCCATCACACGGAAGTATGGGCGTCGAGGAAGTATCATCTGTGGTGGATTAAGTTTTATTATAGGAGCCACTTTAGATGCGTCAGCAGTAAATCTGGCAATGCTCATTTTCGGTCGGATCATGCTTGGTGTTGGCATTGGATTCGGAAACCAGGTAAACTTTCACCTCCATCGAACTGATTCAGCCTGGGCCTTATCTTGGCTTAGGACTTAAATACCATGTGATCATAAAATTTAGTATAAACTCCGTTATAAAAACTTTGCGAGTTAGAAAATGTTATAATCGAAGAACAAACTGAAGCAATGCAAATTGCCTGCTCGCTCTCTTGTTTGTGCTTGAAGGCAGTGCCGCTGTATTTGTCAGAAATGGCACCAACTCATCTTCGAGGAGGCCTAAATATGATGTTTCAATTGGCAACGACACTTGGGATCTTCACAGCAAACATGATAAACTATGGAACAGAGAAGCTTAGGCCATGGGGGTGGAGGCTTTCCCTAGGCCTTGCAGCAGTACCTGCTATTTTGATGGCAATAGGCGGGATATTTCTTCCTGAAACACCTAACAGTTTAATTGAAAGAGGATTAAAAGAAAAGGGACAAAATGTTCTCGAGAAAATCAGGGGAACCTCAGATGTCCATGCAGAATTGCAAGACATAATTGATGCTAGTGATCTTGCAAATTCTATCAAGCATCCTTTCAGAAACATCCTTGAGAAGAGGAACAGGCCGCAGTTGGTCATGGCAATCTTCATGCCAACTTTTCAGATACTTACAGGCATAAATTCTATTCTTTTCTATGCCCCCGTGTTGTTTCAGACTATGGGATTTGGTGGAAATGCTTCTCTCTACTCCTCGGCTTTGACTGGAGCAGTACTCGCTTCTTCCACTTTCATATCTATTGCGACTGTTGATAGATTGGGCCGCAGAGCTTTACTGATTAGCGGAGGAATACAAATGGTTGTGTGTCAGGTAAGAGAACAACCATTCTTTTCTTCTGACCAACAAAATGCCGTAATACACCTCATGGAAACCATAGTGATTCACAAGCACACAGCCCTAAGAACCGAATCTTTCTAATTTTTTTTTATATTGAATAAATTAAATTATTTAAATTTTAATTTTTTCTAAACAAATTAACAATTTATAAATCCAAATTTTTGGTCCAATAATTTGTTTCATTCTAATTTTTTAACTTTTGGCCAAATTACCCATTTTATTATTACGTTTCTTAGTCGAACAAGATCCAACCCACTAAATAACCCTAAACACTTACATTAAAGTGCATAACGCTGTTTTGACTTTTGCAGCATCGCTGACATTCCAAAACCTATATAATAGTCGATCGACGCTGTGACCTCCGCCAATCAAAATTTTGACCGTAGCGATCATTTGAACAAGGTAGTCTACTAGTCCCTGACATTTCAAAACCATTGAATGCGTCATTAGTTATATTTATATAATGTTGTTATAAATGTTAAAAAAATTAATTATGGTACAGAACCTCACAGAACCGAACTGAACCGAACGGAACCGAATCCGAACGGTTCCATAATTACATTTGGACCCGACGGTTCCATTTGCTAAATACTCGAGAATTTTGGTTCGGTTCGATTCTCTTTAGAACCGAACCGACCCGTTCCCACCCCTAATTGGAATTAACCAATTAGGGTTAGATTTTTTTTTTTTTAAAGGATATTTATTATTTATTATTTTTGTCGATCGGTTCAATTTTGGTTCGGCCTCAGTTCAACCCATTGAGGCTTAACCCCTTACTTTTTTCGGATTCATGTTCGCTCCAATTTTCAAAACATTGGAAAAAATACTTTTAAAGGTATTGTTGCATGAATTTTAATTTTTTTAAGTGGGACCGTTCCTTCTGCTCATAAATTTAACATATTTATTCGACAAATAATCGTGACTTTTAGTTTATATTAATTCAACGCTCAATACATATTTCACTAAGATCATTGGAGAATTTATTATAACCACTCGAGATCTATAAGATATTGAGCGTTAGATTGACTTAAATTAAAACTCATGATTATTTGTTTAAAAAATTGTGTCAAAATTATCAGTTGAAAAAATGGTTCCCTTTTTCGTTATACATAAAAAGACTATAGTGTTAGTTCTTTCATTGAATAATGCTATGTAAGATTACAAACCCAATCTAAGTTACCTAAATGATAGGCTGATGAAATGTGAAATTAAATAAATTATTTAATTCCACCTATTTTCACATTAACGCCACTTAAACTGATGTTGTAACTCCAAAGAAGCTAAATAGCATTACTCTTCCTCATTATCAACATATGTATGTAATTAATTATAAGTTGATTGCACGAACTATCCTATGCTCTTGGCTTGTACGATTAGAAGAAATGTTTAGATATATGATACGATAAATCGACAGAATTAAATATGAACAAAAGGCTATATAAACCAATATTAGTTGAAGTTCAATTTCATCACATAATAGAGTAATGTAATATTTATTTATGATTTTGCTATTTGTAAAACCTAGGATGACAATGTGGCAATGTGGTGTGTTGGCAAAAAATAGTTGGTTGCAAAAAATAATTTTTTTTGTTTAAACTATCTAATAACATAATGTCATGTGGCATTCTGTAAACAAAATTGTCATCCATGTTGCTCACCAAGCACGATTCATTTATTTATTGCCACTACGAAATTAATATTAGAAAATCGTCAACACCCAAGAAGTCCACCTTTTGCCGTCTTTCATGCGCAGTGCATATTGACAATTTGATACAAAATTTAAGAATTAAAATTGAATCAAAACGAGGATTAGTATAGTGGTTCTAGTATTAAAATATATGATTAAGTGTAGAAATTCAATGAACCAAACCTAAAATATCTAATACCCAAACTCCAAATTGTACGTGTATGGGTGTCAACTGCTGGTCAACTCAGGCGCGCCTCACCAGTTAGTCGAGCAGCGATTTCACCATGCAACTAGCCCTTTGCACTTTTGTTGAGCGAGCTCGGTAAAACCCCGTAGTAGACGAGCCCACCCCCATGTACATGTGCATTTATGCTTATTTATATTTATTTAGAAATATAGTAGACGGGAAACTGAGAGAAGTAGGGGCTACCATATTGGTCCAAGCATTAAAGAGAGAGACTTCCATTCAGAGACTAGTTCCACTGAAAGTTGCATCATAAATGAAAAAGTTGATACAATTTTTGCAGTCATATTAGACCAAAGCGAGTTAGAAAATGTTATAATCGAAGAACAAACTGAAGCAATGCAAATTGCCTGCTCGCTCTCTTGTTTGTGCTTGAAGGCAGTGCCGCTGTATTTGTCAGAAATGGCACCAACTCATCTTCGAGGAGGCCTAAATATGATGTTTCAATTGGCAACGACACTTGGGATCTTCACAGCAAACATGATAAACTATGGAACAGAGAAGCTTAGGCCATGGGGGTGGAGGCTTTCCCTAGGCCTTGCAGCAGTACCTGCTATTTTGATGGCAATAGGCGGGATATTTCTTCCTGAAACACCTAACAGTTTAATTGAAAGAGGATTAAAAGAAAAGGGACAAAATGTTCTCGAGAAAATCAGGGGAACCTCAGATGTCCATGCAGAATTGCAAGACATAATTGATGCTAGTGATCTTGCAAATTCTATCAAGCATCCTTTCAGAAACATCCTTGAGAAGAGGAACAGGCCGCAGTTGGTCATGGCAATCTTCATGCCAACTTTTCAGATACTTACAGGCATAAATTCTATTCTTTTCTATGCCCCCGTGTTGTTTCAGACTATGGGATTTGGCGGAAATGCTTCTCTCTACTCCTCGGCTTTGACTGGAGCAGTACTCGCTTCTTCCACTTTCATATCTATTGCGACTGTTGATAGATTGGGCCGCAGAGCTTTACTGATTAGCGGAGGAATACAAATGGTTGTGTGTCAGGTAAGAGAACAACCATTCTTTTCTTCTGACCAACAAAATGCCGTATTACACCTCGTGGAAACCATAGTGATTCACAAGCACACAGCCCCTTTAACTATCATTGAAATGTTCTCTTCGTAGTCAAATTGCCTGAAAATACAAAAACAATACTGATGGTTCACATCTATGCACACACGAGGGAAAATGAAACTCTTAGTTCTTGAATTTACATGATACTTGAATTTATAGAACTTCATCCCTACCATTATAGACTGCCAGGCTCTTAAACAGGAGCATTTGTTCTATTATTACCCTGTAAGTTGTGAATCACGCATGAATCCTTATAAGTTAGTATTTGATACATGTAACTAACGACAACTAAAAAAACTGAAACTTCTAATCATTCAAGCTCAAAAAGTATGCATTTTTATTATTAAATGGTGCCTCAGCTACCTAAATTCCAAATGGATATTCATGTATAATGCAGGTGATAGTAGCAATCATACTGGGGCTCAAATTCAGAAGTGACGAGGGACTTTCAAATAGCTTCTCGATATTGGTTGTGGTTATAATCTGTCTCTTTGTTGCAGCTTTCGGGTGGTCATGGGGACCTCTTGGCTGGACAGTCCCCAGCGAAATATTCCCACTAGAAACTCGATCTGCTGGACAGAGCATTACAGTTGCAGTAAATCTCTTCTTCACATTCGTAATAGGCCAATCTTTCCTCACCCTCTTATGTGCATTCAAGTTTGGGATTTTCCTCTTCTTTGCGGGTTGGATTACCATCATGACGATCTTTGTCTATCTCTTCCTTCCCGAGACAAAGGGCGTGCCCATCGAAGAGATGATATTCTTGTGGGAAAAACACTGGTTCTGGAAAAAGATTGTTCCCATATACTCAGAGGCAGAAACGGAGTCGTAATGGTATCAAGAAACTTAGTCAAGCAAATGATCAAACACATAAGGGACTGTCGACTGTGGACGATATTCTAATATTATTAGCTTAATATCATGAAGAAAAAACATCTGATGAATTGTTATTGTGTGGGCTTTTTATGAAAGTGAAGTGAAATCGATTCTGTTGAAATTTCCTAATACAACAATGTGATCTCGATTGCCTACATATGCTGAACCGCGAAGAATAATAGCATCAACCATCTTTCAGCTCCATACACAAGGGAGGGGAGACGAATGGATGGATTAATCTGAAACAAAACACAAAGTTTGATGACTATTTTGAAAATAAAAGAAAGTCGAGTATTCAAATGGAAACCCGCTCCCTTAATTTTAAGTTTGGGCAAGTCTAGCCATTTTTTCACTTTAACCAAAAAAATTTGCCAATCATCCAAATGGCATTTTATTGAGTAACAGACAAAAATTTCCTTAAGTAGTTTATACAATTACAAAGATAGAATTTTATTTCAAAAGACAAAAATATTCTTAAGTTACAAATTAAAAAACCAAACACTTTTCACTTTATATTTAATTATTTATTTTAAACAATTACTCAAATTAAAAAAATTAATATTTATTTTACTTTCTTGTTTAAATATTTTCTTAATTAATTATCTTAATCAATTATGTATATTATTTATTTAATATTTAATTTATTTATTTAATCACTTGTTTAAATAAAAAATTAATATTTAATTTGATTTCTCATTTAAATATTTTATTAATTTATTATCTTAATTAATTATGTATATTTAATAAATTATTTAATTATTGATTTTAAACGCTTATTCAAATAAAAAATTAATATTTAATTTGGTTTCTCTTTTAAATATTTCATTAATTAATTATCTTAATGGCCCTTATTTAATTATTTATTTTAAACACCTACTCAAATAAAAAAATTAATATTTAATTTTATTTCTCATTTAAATATTTCTCTATTAATTATCTTAATTGGTTATGTATATTGTTTATTTAATATTTAATTACTTTATTCAAATAATCAATTAGTCAAATAAAAAAATTAATATTTATTTTAATTTCTTATTTAAATATTTCATTAATTAATTATCTTAATTAGTTATGTATGTTATTTATTTATTGTTTAATTACTTTGTTTAATTATTTATTTAATAACTTAATTAAATAAAAAATTAATATTTAATCTAATCTCTTATTTAAATATTTCATTAATTATTTATCTTAATTGGTTATGTATTTTATGCATTTAAAATTTAATTACTTTATTTAATTATTTATTTAATAACTTATTTAAATAAAAGAATTAGTATTTATTTTAATTTCTTATTTAAATATTTCATTAATTAATTATCTTAGTTAATTATGTATATTCTTTATTTAATATTTAATTACTTTGTTTATTTATTTATTTAATCGCTCAATTAAATAAAAATTTTATATTTAATTTAATTTCTTATTTAGATATTTCATTTATAAATTATCTTAATTAATTGTGTATATTATGTATTTAATATTCCATTACCTTATTTAATTATTATTTTAATCACTTATTTGAATAAAAAATTAATTTTTAAATATTAATTAACTATTTAAATATTTCAATAATTAATTATCTTAATTAGTTATGTATATTATTAGTCATTAATATTTAATTAATTTATTTTAATTGCTTGTTTAAATAAAAACATTATACCATAATGTACAAGTGACATAATATTATTGAAGAGTTGAAAAACAATTTTTTCGATCCTTCACTCATAAAATTTCACATATACATTGTAGACATCCCTATGAATTAGTATATGTAAAATTATCCAATATTGAATTTGATTTCTCGTTTAAATATTTCTTTGTTAATTATCTTAATTGGTTATGTATATTTAATTACTTTATTCAATTTTTTATTTTAAAACCTATTCAAATAAAAATTAATATTTAATTTAATTTTTTCTTTAAATATTTCATTAATTAATTATCTTAATTGGTTATGTACATTGTTTATTTAATATTTCTTTACTTTATTTAATTATTTATTTAATCACTTATTCGAATACAAAATTAATTTATTCTTTAATTATCTCATTAATTAAATTTCTTAATTGGTTACGTATATTATTTATTTAATATTTAACTATAACATAGATCACATGATGCATGAGAATATCTAACAAAGATGGAAGTCGAATATTAGGCACGATCACTTTTTCAAGACATCAAATATTATTCAAGAATGTCGAAAATATATTTCCTTTACCAAATGAAGTCGAGTGAGAAATTCTTGATTATAGTATGTTACTCTCTACCCAACAAATGTGTAATATCTATTTAAATCATATATACTCTCTATTTATAGTATATTATTGGTTTCCTCAATTTTCTCTATTTATAGTATGTTAATAATTACATGAAAATTAACCCGACGAATATATAATATCTACTTAAATCGTATGTACTCTCTATTTATAATATTTCACTGATTTCCTCAATTTTCTTTATTTATAGTGTGTTATACATGTAATTAAGGGTAATTAGTTATTTATTATACAATTACATAAAAACTAAAGTATTATAAACGATTTAAAAAATGCTTACATTTTAAATTATTACAATTACGGATCACAATGTACATAAAAGAAAGCTTACATTTAATTTTTTTTTTACATTTTAATGTGCGTTTGGTTTATCAGCTCTACGTCAGTCTGATGCTAAAAATTCAATATATTTCAATTTGATATGAATCCGACGAAATTAATGGGAGATGAATTTAGGGTCTTAATCCGATAACCCAATCGAGATTTAAATCCGATAATCCGTTAACTAAATGAATCAAATATGGATATAGGTCGATCCGATCCGATATTACTAAAACATTTCAAAAGAAATCTCTTTTAGAAATGAGTTAAAGGAGCATCACTTAGATAATATATATATATGATTTGGGCCTTCTAATATAATGAGTGAGCCCATCAAGACAGTTCAAATATTTTTCAAAATAATTAAAATTTTGTTGGGGCTATGATTTTCAATGAAAAAATAAATAAAATATTTATTTTTCTAATTTTTTCAATTTCGGATCTAATATCTGATAACATAGTTAATCGGATATGAATTTAACATTCAAATATCCGTTGGATTATTGGATCAGATCAAATAGGATAATTATTCTTAATAGATCGAATCGGATTTAAGCAGATCCGATACATATATCCGATCCATTTATAGTCCTAACTTCAATGCGAAGATTCCACAATCGCCTTGGGTCGAATTCACGGAAGAGGTTGGGCAACGTACCATCGACAGATGTTCTCTTCTTTGCCTCGATTGTGTACGGAGAAACAATGTGTTGTGACAGCAATCTAGCCCTCTTACTAACTATTTGCTTTGGCACGTCAATAACATATTTCTTATAGAATGTCACTTTCATCGTCTTCTCCGACATAATTATCACATTATCCAAACTCGCGACATTATTTGTCAAGTTGGAGGTCATTTCCGGTATAGTTATATATATTATTTATTTAATATTGAATTACTTTGTTTAATTATTTATTTATTCACTTAATTAAATGAAAAATTAATATTTAATTTAACTTCTTATTTAGATATTTTATTTATAAATTATCTTAATTGGTTGTATTTATTATGTATGTAATATTTCATTACTTTATTTAAATAAATTTTGCAATATATACAATTATTTCATAAATAAAAATATATATACAATTATTTCATAAATACAATTATTTCATCCCCTCCACCGACACCTCTCTCATCCTCACTGACATTCATAACGATTCTAATGAAACATCTGTGTACATCCTCACTCCTCCACCGCTACCCTCCCAGTCACCATCTACGTCACCCTCTCTGTCACTGTTTAGAACCCCCATCGCCTGCTGACTGTATCTCCTCAAATATGACTTTGACCCTCCTCCTCGATTAACAGTGTCAGCTCAATGAGCACTTCAAGCTGACAAATTAACATTTCACCGAGTTAATAACCATACATCAAGTTTTCGAAATGACGTACAACATAAATCACAAATGAATAATATATATCTCAGGATCATTGAGGAGAGTTGATAACTGTCAGCTTTGTCCCCATAGATAGTTGTTGAATGTGTCAATGTCATCAACAATCTCTAAATGAAAAATGTCGATCGACATCTTCTTGTTATGATACTTCAAATATGTTCTCTAATATAAGCACCATCCATAACTTCAACTTGTCAAATATATCGCATTCCTTGAATACATTTTCTAATTGTGCCAGAGTTACCGTCATAAGTAGGATTGGTGTAACAGGTCTGCATGCTCTTCATCCAACAAATATAGGACTAATGCGAAACTGGTAAAGTTATAGTTCGACGTAACTTTGTCGGGAATCTGTCTCATGGCGGCGTCCAAATGGTAATTCATCTTGTAAATTTTAAAATATTTATATTTCTTTGTTATTTATGTCAATTAATTATTTTAATTGCTTAATTAACATTTAAGTTACTTGTTTATTGAATTTATTTTAGTTATTTATAATTTCAATTAATTATTTTAAATTTTTTATTAATATTTATTTAATTTATTTCAATTAGTTATTTATTACTTATTTAAATAAACAATATACATAAATAATTAACATAATTCATGAAATATTTAAATAAACAAATAAAGTATAAAATGAATAATTATATATTAAACAAATAATATACATCAACAATTAAAGTAATTTATTAAATATTTAAATAATATACATCAACGACATTGGCATGTTGAGTCAATCCAAACGATTGAAACCAACACTGCTGTAAAGCTGGCAAAGTTACAGTTCGACGTAATTCAAATGATAATCTATCTTACAAAATTTCAAATATTAAAACATTTGAAACATAATGTCACAACATTCAACTAACCGAATTATAAGTAACATACACACGAAATAACAGATACTAAAGAAAATGAATTACAAAATTAGACAACAAATTATAAAAGTGAAAAACTGATTTTTGTAAAATTATTTATTTCATAGTTTATTTTAATTCTTTAGTATTTATTTCAATTCTTTATTTAATTAATTTGGATTATGTATATTTAATTAGTTATTTAAATAAATTATTTTGAATATTTATATTTCTTATTTAATTACTTATTTAAATAAATTATTT